ACCGACGGTTTGTTGATCCAAACTCACCTCGGCGTGAAAACACAACAGAGCGTGTGTTGTTTTAGTGTGTAAATGGCAGTAATGTGTCCTGCGTGGTGTCCTGGTTCTGTGCATTAGACGGTCGTGGGGTACAATCACCAAGTCACAGGAGGTTCTGTTTGGCTGAGGTCACACCACAAAGGGCTCCGACGCACACAGTGTTGTGTGTTGCGGCTTAAACAACATAAACTCCTGCAAAATACATCGTTTATCTGCCACAGATTCAATATACAGGCAGCTCCTACAGAGTGGATTCAGCTCCACTGTAGGTAATTATCTGGGATCAGAGACAAAGCAAAGAGCTGGTGTAGTTTCTAAGGCGTCAGAGGGATTTATGTTTGGATCATGTCTCAATAAAAAGAAGCATTACTGCCGTTTGTAATGTTCAGTCTCTCCAGGAAATACCCCAGACCGACTTGTTCAGCTCATTAAGACGTGAAACACATTTTAAACCTTGTTCACGTCTGATGTTGTGAATGAAAGCAGCAATAAACAGGTTTGTATGCGATATGGAAACTGAAATATAAATCTTAATCTTAATCTTAATAAATCTTTGATGCTGTTTCTGTGGAGGGACTGAATTCACCCTTGATGGAAACATTACGTCCAGCAGCAAACGTCTTTGGGAGACTTTCCGTTGACCCGCCGTAGATCAGCCGTGAGTTCAGGTGAACGCGTCGTTAATTAACACCTCAGCCAGGTACCTTCACGCTGCATCGAACTCTAAATGACGCGCAGCTGTTTGACACAAATGCTGCTGCTAGTTTTTTATGGGCCTAAAGTTTGTTTTTGTTTTTTTTCCATGTCAGAAGGACAGATGAACCGTGTGAGCCCTGAAACAGTTCCTGGGTGTTTTTCTTCTGTTCTGTCCTTTCACTGCGATATGAAGTCATACATCTCCACAGCCAGAATGGTTCTGAATTGCTGTCGTTGGATTTTCGGTCGTAGTTACTCGCTCGTGGTTTCTCTGTGGCACCAAGCAACACAAGATTTATGTTTAAATAGAGTTTAACTGGAGCGATTGAGCGGTTTATTTTGGTTTTTTTATTTTTTTTATTTTTTTGATGGGACATTCAGTGATTTTGATGCGATATCACGACTTTAAGTGTAGCTTCAGTTCACTTTCCTGATGAAAGGCGTTAGTCATCACACACGAGCCAGACAAAGACAGAACGTTGGATTATTTTCTGATTTAATAGTTTCTGACTCATGAATGGAGTCATTTTGGTGATTTTGTAAAGAAAACGTGGTTTTAAAATCCACCGATTGATTCATTTAGTTTCAGCCTTCCTTCACCTCCTCAGGTAGAACATTTTTATTTTCAGAATACAGACGAAAGCCAAGCAGCTGATGGATGTTTTATGACTTCCTCGTCTTCGTCAGTAGGCAGTTTTTTTAGTGTTTGGCTCAAGAGAGAGGGAAGTGACTGAAACCTGGTTGAAGCTGAGACATTATGGACTTGTGCTGTGTTAGCGTTTGTGTTTACTGCTTAATGCTGTGACCAGATCCTGATGCATTCAGTCTGGACATGAGGTGCACAGGAAGACGACCGGCTGACCTGAGAACAGCCAGTCTGTCCCAACATAAGACGACACAAGACTAGAATGTATGAAGCAAGTCCTTTCTGAGTCAACATTATGACTGACATGCCAACTGTGGGGCTGCAGGTGTCTCAGTGGTTAGCACCGTCGCCTCACAGCTAGAAGGTCGCCGGTTGGCGTCCCGGTGAGGACACCCGGGATCTTCCTGCGTGGAGTCTCCATGTTCTCCCCGTGCAGCGTGGGTTCTCTCCGGGTTCTCCGGCTTCCTCCCACAGTCCAAAAACATGTTGAGGTTAATTGGTGATTGTAAATTGTCCGTAGGTGTGAATGTGAGTGTGCTTGGTTGTCTGTCTCTAAGTGTAGCCCTGTGATAGACTGGTTACCTGTCCAGGTGAACCTGCCTTCACCCTGAGTCAGCTGGGATAGGCTCCGCCCCCCATGACCCTAGTGAGGATTAAGGTGGAGAGATGTTTCAGAATGGGGACACTATAGAACCATAAACACCAGAAATATCCACACAGTTAAAAACACGTGAGCCTGATTTCTCAGTAGTTACTGTGAAAGCAAAGACGATTAAAACACTCAAATCCACACTTTTAACAGAAGTATTAAACTCTAAAACAGACTCTAAAACGACCACACAGGAAACCTGCTTTCACTATTTCACCACCATGTCAGAGGAATCCCGTCCCGCTTGTCAGCAGCATTACCAAAATGCATCCCTGTGTTACCTGCCTTCCCTCCTCTCCCTCTGATGGTACCGGGGTCAGAGGGTTCTGTTGTTGTTGGACATGTCTGACTCATCGATCCTTTATCTGACTGAGGGTTGTGTATCCGTGGCCTCCACCGTGGCTCTGAGATGTAAACGGTGCTGTGTATCGACGGCTGCTGTCCGTGGTGCTGAAACAGCAGCAGTCCTGCCCTTCTGTCTTCCATTTAGAATATTCTCCAAACATCACACTAAAAACACTCCATCTCCTCCTGTACTGTATCCTATACGTCCAGCTGTTGGGCTCGAATCGTCCAGACAACTGTGGGCTTCATGTGAGAAGACCAGACCTCAGCAGAACAGCAGCTCTATTACATTAACATTACAACTGCAGGAGGTGGTGGCTTCTCCCTTTGGACTGTCCCCCTACAACAAATCACCTCCTGATTTAATTCACTGCAGTGTTTCATTCCATTAGTTTGGGTAGATGTGCCTAATAAATTGTTAACTGGGTATAAATAACCTCATTAACATCATGAGACACGTGTGATACAACCACAGCATTAAATAACAGCTGTGTGTTTAAAATCCTGAACTTAGTTCCACACAAAAAAATAGTTGTTTCACCAGACTGAACGATGGCAAGTTGTGTAAAACTAGACTGTATTTGCACTGAAATATTGGCTCCAAACTCGTCAGAACAAAAAAAAAAAAAACCCAGCTGAGCCCCCCCAGATGTAAGACAGTCGAATGTAAAGCAGGATCCCGGGCGGCACAATGTTCGTTCGTTTCAATTAAAAGTTTCTGATGAGGAAATGGAAAAAAAAAGTCCTGTAGAAAGTGTAGATGTGATTGGTACGGCTGCCCGAGATGAGAAAAGAATATATAAGAGCAGATTCATTACTCGGAGTCATTTCGGTTCCTCAGTTTGGAAAATGGACATTGTCTCCTAGAGTGTGTGTGTGTGTGTGTGTGTGTGTGTGTGTGTGTGTGTGTGTGTGTGTGTGCTGATGAGGTCGATTGCATAACGTCTATACTTCCTGACCAGACTGAAACCCATTTCACGAGCGCGGTCAGGCTGTTGAATGGATTACTGAAGGCAGAACCTGAGCCCTGATACGAGGCTCTGAACGGGAGCTTCACAGACTGGCGGTGGCGTCCACTGACCCGGCGGCAGCATCACTGACAGCTGCTGCTTTCACACATCAGAAGTGCCAGAAGTGGCAGGACTCAGTGTGAACTCCACATCCCAGATCTTCCATCCACGATGTCGACAAAAACAGCATCGCTGTGTCGTGTCACGTCGGATGAATCTGTTTCAGGAACCGAAAAGGAGCTACGACATCTGGCTTTAGGAATAAAGTGGATCTGTTATTGGTAACTCACAGCTTATGGCTATTAAAGACCTTCTAATGCATTATAGGTCAGTTATAAACCTACATTTATAAATAAAACAACCAGAATTACCTGAACTAATAATACTATGAGTGGCTTTTCAGGTTGAAAGCTTCCCTCTGAGGGAGACGTTGGAGGATTTTAGGAAGTCTGAAGGCCGATATCAGCTCAAATTACGATAATCGTCTGTTGTTTCGGCTTTATTGTGTCAAAAACAGAAGCACACAACTCAAACAGCTGTGTGAGTTTCAGCAGAAATACAGCAAATCTTTATATATTCAACAGAATACAGACAAACAGCATAAATCAGTGTTTATTCATGTATTTATCAGCAGCATTAGGTCTTCCTGTTGACATCCACAGAGGCTGCACAAACAGTAAATGGTTTAAAGTAGCACAAATATCAAACATCTCTCCACAGAAGACGTTATAATTGTGTATTTTAACAGCATATGGTGCAGACACAATAAGTTCTGTTATAAATGACCCACGTTTCTGTAGGTGATGGATTCAATAAGGGAGGAAAAGGCCCTAAAAGTCTTTATTATTCTGTATGAATGCTTTCCTAATATGCCTCTCCTGCAGACCTGATGCCTCACTGGTGCTCTATTAATGACTCTACTGTTAATTATTCCACCAAACCAAAAGTTGTTCATCAGGGCAGTTTATTCTGAAGCTCTGATGTGGTTTATAAAGTGATTAAACTCTCCACAAAGGGGCTGCATGTGTGATATAATATTCTGGAATATAAAAAGTCAATTTATGGAGCGTAATTTGTGACAAATGAGAAACACTGGGCACTATGACCCAGCAGATAGCCTAGTCTTCATGAGAGAGAGGAGAAAAAACAAGGCTGTGATCAGTGGTGCTTGTTTGATGTCAGAGTCGGTATAAAACCGAGCCGTGGGCTTGGCTCTCCATTCAACCACCAGGGGCCCGAGGAGGCGCAGCTCTGGAGAACTTCTGCCCTACATGCGGATTATCTGTGGCATCCTCCCAGATGTTGGGACACCAGGACGCGCTGCTCAACATCTCCACTCGGAACGCTTTTCTTCTGCCTTATGTGCTGTCCACAGTTAGGAAGTTTCTTTTATGGCTAAGAAACGTAAAAAAGTTGCTGCGATGAGCGGATATTTGCTCCAGTTTTGTTTCTGGCATCAAAACCTGATGTGAGAGAAGAAAATGAAGAATAAAGGAGTTTGTGTTTCAGTCTGATAAAGTGGATAAAGTGACGTTCAACGCAGATAAAGGAGGAGTTTTAAACGCCACATACATCCGAGGATGAAATTAAATATGAGAAGAAGTGACTAAAAGTTATGGAGCTCTCCGGTCAGGTCCAGACAGCTCAGCCGGTGAACACCTCCAACGCCAGCTTCCCGTCCGGTGAGGACGACGGCGCGGAGAGTCTCGCCTACCAGGTCGGTCTGGCTGCGGTTCTCTCGGTCATCACGCTCGCCACCACTTTGTCCAACGCCTTCGTCATCGCAACCATCTCCCAGTCCAAGAAGCTGCAAACTCCTGCCAACTTTCTGATCGCGTCTCTGGCCGTCACCGACCTGCTGGTGTCCATCCTGGTGATGCCCATCTGCGTCCTGTACACGGTGATCCACACCTGGACGCTCGGACAGATCGTCTGCGACATCTGGCTCTCCTCGGACATAACGTGTTGCACCGCCTCCATCCTCCACCTGTGCGTAATCGCCTTGGATCGGTACTGGGCCATCACGGACGCGGTGGAGTACTCCAAAAAGCGCACGACGGGGCGCGCGGCCGGGATGGTGGCCACGGCCTGGGTCATCGCCATCTCCATCTCGCTGCCGCCGCTCTTCTGGAGGCAGGTGAAGGCGGAGGAGCTGACCAGCTGCAGCGTCAACACGGACCACATTTTCTACACCATCTACTCCACTTTCGGGGCTTTCTACATCCCCACCTTGCTGCTCATTGTCCTCTACGGACGGATATACGTGGAGGCGCGGAAACGGATCCTGAAGCAGTCCCCCAAGAAGGTCGGGAAGAGACTCACCTCCGCGCACCTGGTCACCAACTCCCCCGGATCCGTGGCGTCCACGACCTCTATGCAGTGCGGGAGACACGACACTCCGTCCAGCGACACCGGCTCGTCGACCAGCGAGAACCAGGTGAAGGTGACGGTGTCGGACGCGCTGCTGGAGAAGAAGCGCATTTCGGCAGCCAGAGAGAGGAAAGCGACCAAGACTCTGGGGATAATCCTCGGCGCGTATATCGTCTGCTGGCTGCCGTTTTTCATTTACACGCTGGTGGTGGCCACATGTGACACATGTTTCAACCCCGAGCTGTTTGACTTCTTCACCTGGCTGGGGTACCTGAACTCCCTCATCAACCCCATCATTTACACCATGTCCAACGAGGACTTCAAGAAAGCTTTTCAGAAACTTGTGCGCTTCAGATGCTGCAGGTCGTGAACTGTTCCTCCAGCCTCCAATAAGATGTATGTGTTTATTTTTTAATATAAAGTTCTGAGAATGTAGAGTAAAAAGGAACGGCACCGATCTGAGAGTCATGAGCATGAAAAATGAAAAAAAAATAAAATAAAATGGATCAGTGTGAAGGTAAAAATGAAAGTTTGTTCAAAGAAAGAAAGAAATTTTGGTATGAAATTGTTCCAAATAGCATCCGTTGATTTGAAGTCATTCCCAAAACTGAGTGCAGTAATAATTCAGCGCTGCCTTTATTTTGAAAACAGATTCCATCTTTTGATTTAAACTGAATTCTGACGGTGGATGGTTGAGAAATTCAACTTTACACTCACTCAAGCCTGGGTAATCTCCTTTAAATTGTCAGATTTGCTTCTTAGAAAGATGGAACTGAGTGACGGTTGGAGTTGAGATGGAGTGGATGCAGCTCACCTTATTCATTAAGACTGATCCAGGATCAGCAGTAAAGAGCAAAGATCACAAACATCTGATTTCACAAGTCATGAACACATTTAAATGATCCTTTTTACATTATCTGTGCAAATAAGGTAGTTTTATTTTTTATAAATGTCATGGAGGAAATATACAAGTCTGTGTGTTCTGGAAAATCCCCACAGGTCTGTGTTCTGATTCTGGTCATGGAGGGCTTGCTGCTACCCTTTATGGTTTATCTTTGTTTAGAGCAGCTGGTGGGAAAAAAAGGAGTCACCGTGCAGGCGCTACGAAGAGATTCATACAATATCAGAGCCACACAAAGAAGCTGCAGCTGATATTTACCCAGCGGAGCCCGACGCTCATGATAAGTCCAATTTTGCTGAACAAACATCACCTTGTGTCCCTGAGCCTGAGCAGGTCTGTTTGCTGCTACATGAAGTCTGTATCTGTAGTATGTTATGTTGTCACCACCTCATGGCTGCAGAGACCGAGTCGACCCGCAGAGCAGCAACGACAACGCAGGTGATCCGTCAGCATTAAGTATGTTGTAGGAATTTATATGTTTGCATTCAGAGACGCTGTGCAATAAAAGGCTTTGAAGTATTTGTCTGGCACGATTGTTTTATGAGTAATAACGCTTCTGAAGTTTTTATACGAGCTGCTGCTTTTATTGGAATGTAGAAATAAGCACAGATAATACGTGCAGTTTCATCACTGTTGTAAAATATCACCTTGAATTCTGATGAGACCTCGGAGTAAACGGTCCGAGCTCATAATTAAATCCAACCAGAGAGCATTAAACAGATCGATGCAGAAGTCTGGCTGTCGTTTCCCATCACTTGCTGCTGCTGCTGGTTTTTTTTCTCTCTCTCGTGGCAGCATAAGGTTGTGTTGTGATGCTCATTACCATGTGAACCCTCCACCACCTGCCTGCCCTTTCACTGTCCAGCTGCCTCCGTACACGCAGGAGAAGACGCCAGTGTGTGGTCGACGGCTGTCAGCGGTTCAATAAGTCATGAGGGAGAAAGTGGGCGACGCTCTTCGGAGAGACCCACTCGTATCGTCACTGCATGTGGAAACACACACACATGCAACCTTTGGCTGTCCGTGTATGAATATTCATACGGTTCATCACGCATGAGGGATGATTACACTTGAGAAGGCAGCCGTTCACGAGGCCTTTTTAGGAATCTACTGTGGGAATGAACACATCTGGTGATATGTCATGTATACGTTTACATTTCACGGTTTTCTGTCGTCTGTCTTTTCTCATGAGAATGGAAACAAGGACGTCAATGAGCAACAACAAGTCCATCTCTGAAGTGATTTCAGGGCCGAACTACACAGAAAGCATCACAATTAAGCAGAGCAACAAGTTTAACAATCTGTTTGTTTGTTTGTTTGTTACCTCCTGCTCACAAGACAAAGTGAATCAACAGAGAGTCTGAAGAAGACCGGTCACTCGTCTGCAGCTCTGGTTGACCTCATTCATAAAGTCTATGTTGTTCTTTTAGTGTGTACGTCCAGGTGCAGGACAAAAACGCTGCACACAAAGGAACAGCAGAGGTTGTCTGCACGCTGACATTTCAGTGTTTCAACCCACAAGGCCTTCCTCGGGGCAGACGTCCAAAAGAACTAAGAACAAACTAAAACTAACTCAAAACACATGATGCTCTAAAGAAAGGACTGCAGCCCATACTCGCATCCCGTTCAGGTTCTTTATTCTGTGCATAACTATTTATTTGCAGGCCCTGAGTTTTATTTTCCTCTATTAAAGAGATGCTCCTGTCAGATTTAAGATGAACAGCTTCCAAAAAAAACTATAAAAACTGATGCAGCAGGACCAAAGACATCCTCTGTGTTGTTGCTCCGTCTTGCCAACTACATTACCCACAATGCAACAGGACAGCATACAGCCTGGTTTGGGTATTTGGGTGTGTTGTGCTGTAACATCCAGCGTAGTGTCAAGGAGGCATAGCCCGAAGCAGAGACAAGCAGCAGGAGTTTGGTAAGAGGACTTCTTTCATACATCACTGGATTTGTTTCTTGTTGTCTTTAGTTTCCATGAATTCTGACTCGATTCGTCGGAGCTTCCATAAAACTTGCGTCCAGACTTTGATGAGTAAACATGATGCAGAGCTTTTGTTTTGTTTCCAGAGAAAGGAAAGTTCATAATGGACCAGATGAATTACAGGTTGATCGTTAATGTTTAACAAGCAGCCTTCACCGTTTTCTGTATCCAAACATGGCCTGACTCACAGGATGACGGCGCCTCTAATGATGCAGAGCTGCAGACATTATCCTGTTGTCGACAGCGGAGCGATCGCATCGAGCACACAGATAAATTAATTATACAAGCCACGTTTTTCTATTAGGTGAATGAGCGTCGTTACTGATCTGTCACGGGTCCGCCGCGGAGTGAAGGACGGCTAGCGAGGCCGAACACACGGATAATGAAGCCATAAAATATTCTTCGGCTAAATGTGTTGTTAGTAAGCAGCTTTATTGTTTCACCCTCTGTGATTGAAGAAGGTTCGCGGCTTTCATCGCCTGAAAAATGGAGGCGCAACGGGCCACCTGCTAATAATAAATTACCCCACCAAGGTGATCGCAATTGACCTTGACAGGGAGGAAAACGAGTCAGCAAGTCGTCCATTAGGCGCCAAGGAAAGGTAAGGAGACCGAGGGTGAATAACAATCAGAGGTGCTCCGGATGTTTCCAGTCACCCCGTTAACACACTGACGATGTGACGTCTTCTTCATTTACATCAGCTCTTAGTTAGTTTATTGACTAACCTGCTTACATGTAGATTACATTTCTAATATGACCCACTTAATTGCAGCTTCTCACTCTTCTGGGAATCCCACGACACGGACACACAAACCGCACAACCAACACAACCAACACAACCAACACAACCAACACAACCAACACAATAAAACACAGGGCTGCAAACTTTCCTGCAGATCTTCGTTGCACATTCGTCAACTGTTCAGCTCACATGGGAGAAAAGGTGTCAAAGGTGAAGTGATTTACCGCCTTATTTATATCCATGAACACATTTCCGCTCATGTGTGGATGAAGGTGTTACATATGTGTGTGTGTGTGTGTGTGTGTGTGTGTGTGTTCAGTTACAGCCTTTAGTCATACGTGTTCTCTCCATGCTTCACATCAGATCCGTGGCCACGAGCGGTTTCTCTGCCTCGCAACAAAGTGGGTTACTTTAAAGGTTCTGCATGCGTCTCTCCTCCAGCTCACCTACATGACTAATCGTGTGTTTCTCTGCTGAATCCTGCAGCGAGATGCTCCTGCAGTCGGAAGACTTTCTGTGTTTGACTGAGCAAATCAGAAGTAGAATAATAAGCAGAACATGCGACTGACTGGCGGTTGTTTGCACTTGTGGGACCGCTGCCACCGGAGCTCGCTGAATCCATCACACTTAACATCAGCTCTGGCCTGACAAGCAATATATCACCAAATTAGGCAGTTAGCGGCGGAGGAGGTGTTCGTACTGCAGAGGATTTGGCTGCTATATGATCCATCCGTCCACGCGGTGTGTGCATCGCCGGTAATGGCCACTCAATTAGCAGCAGCGTGTTCCATGTTTGGGTGCAGATGGGTCACGCAAAACCTCAGAAATCAGATTATGCTTCAAGCCCATTCAAATCTGGGAGTTACTTAGAGAATGTCCAAGAAGATGAGAGTTTGGAGATCCCTGGTGGTGGATTTTAACGTGCAGAATCGTTTTCTACTGAAGTGGAACGTGCACATTTTAATTGTTTGCGTCTATATAAGCGTACGCTCTGTTTGTACTTCACTGAACAACGTGACATTCTGCACGCTGTTCTTATTTACTTTCTTTTTGAGCTGTAGACTAGAATCCGCACATGGAGCTGGAGCTGAGAGGCGATTAGCCTAGCTTAGCATAAAGAGTGAAACACCGAGCCTGGTTGGAACGATACTTACACTATTCACCATTAAAACCAACAGCTGCGACCAGTCCGACCATAAACACAAGACCTCTGATGTGTCCTGTGGTACCAGGATGCTGGCGGTGTAGCCTTCGGGTGTTGTGGGTTGGGGCCTCCATTAGTCGAGTTTGTTATGACAGATGCTCAACTGATTAGGGTCTGGCTTTGGCTGTTGGTCATGTTCCTCGAGCTGCCCCTGAGCAGTTTCTGTGGTGAAGTGGAGCACATTTTCCTGCTGAGAGAAATAACTGCCAGGATCCGAGTTTGCAGGACCTCATCTATGAGTGGTCTTACTGTTGTGGCTTATAATCTTTTTTTTCAGTTCATGTTTAAGGACGGTGCTGCAGGTGTGTCAGTGGTTAGCACTGTGGCCTCACAGCTAGAAGGTCGCCGGTTGGCGTCCCGGTGAGGACACCCGGGATCTTTCTGCGTGGAGTCTCCATGTTCTCCCCGTGCAGCGTGGGTTCTCTCCGGGTTCTCCAGCTTCCTCCCACAGTCCAGAAACATGCTGAGGTTAATTGGTGATTGTAAATTGTCCGTAGGTGTGAATGTGAGTGTGCTTGGTTGTCTGTCTCTAAGTG